AAATAAACATCCTATGCATGTCCTTAATTTGTAGTTTGTACCCATTTTTTGCACTCTTGCAAGCCTCTTTTGACTTTGTAATTAAAAAGATACTAATAAAGACCCATACCTATCACCCACTCTACCATGCAAGGGTAAAACCACCACCCATTTTTTAATATCATGCATGGTTTTGCCTTTGCATGACAGTAGTGACTGTTTTTGAGGTGTATTTTTATATAAGATTCAATAGAAATGTGCATAAAACATAAAAGTAAATCCTTACTCATGAAACCCAACCCTGTAATCGGGCTGATAGACTGTGGAACAGTAAGTTTAACTAGGTAAAAAGAGGCTAGGTTTTTAAGAAACTGTAGATCACTTGTCACATTTCAAGAAACAATATGTTTATGCTGCACTTGTTCCTCGCATCATATACATCCGTCATCCAGTACAATCACTGATATGGTGTTCAGGTCTGAACACTAGTGTGGATTTATGTTGTGGGAATAATAAGTCATTACTTTTAACACGTCAGCATTATAAATTTCACACAAAGGTCTAAGTTATACAAAAAAGTATGTTTTGTGTGAATTAAGAAAGCATGTGTTAGTGTAGCTCCGGTACAACAGCTACTAAAACTGATACGAAAGAACTTATAAAATTTCATTTTCAGGGTAAGTACATCAAATTTCAGCATTTTAAAGTATTCTTCTATGAAATCTGACAGAGAATACGATTCCAGGCATCTATAAGTAATCCCCAGGCAGTTTGTATAAAAAGGTCACCTCTACAGTCTACTCCAAACAATATTCATATCCAATATTATCATAAACAAGAATATACCACTTGCCAACATCAGTTATTTAAGGCCAGGTTAGATTATGTTTTATTTTATATTTACTGAAGAAAAGGATAGTTGTGAGTAGGTGTATTTCTTAAGTGTTGTATTCAATTTTTTTTTAATTTCAATGGACATATCCCGGTGGAATGTTTGGAAATGATTCCAAATGATGTCCTTTAGCATTGAATAGGATTTTGAAGCTAATTAACCACATTGAAAACACTACAGGGTGTTTCACTAAAAGTGTCAAAAAGTAAATGCCTATTAAAGTTATATAAAATATGCAAATTACGTGGTTGCGCACGTGGCTTTGTTGCAAATTTTTGGACATTTATGCTTTGCCCATTTAAGATATATTTTACACTCATACGGAGCGAGGGCAGGAGGCCAAAGTTACTAGTCGTTTTTTTCCTTATGCAGAACAAGAACAGGTTATTTACACCGCAACAGGAGGGGTGAATTACACTTACTTTTGGTGCCATCAGAAACATTGAAACCATATGCCGACTTTTCAGGAAACGTTTTATTCTCTCACCTCGCTACGTTCCAGATTATAAAAGGTTCAAAGGGCTTCTTGAGAGGTTTAAAAAGGTTCCTTCGATGCCGGTCCCAGTCCAAAAAAGACGGGGTCCCCCACCTCTCGGCGGAAACCGTTGAAAAGTTCAGGGTCTTTTTGAGGGTCTTTGAAGATAACAAGAAGCTAATTTCAACATCAGAAATAGCCAAGGCCTTACAAGTTATCAAAAACAGCCACTATAATGGCTGTAACCACCAGGAACTAGCTGGATTAGAAGTTCCTGCGCCGAAAAATCAGCTGCCTTCGCGCCCGCCTCTGGCCAGCGCGAAGCCCCGATCCGTCACCGCTTTACTTCTGGTTTTGGTCAGTAGCTCTCGCAGAGCTGAGGAAGACTCAAGTCGCATCACTTCGGGAGCTGAAGAGCACCATTCAAGGCTTTGCCGACAGTCTGGACGCTGAAGATGAAAACGGGCTGTGAGGCACCTCCGGACACGTGCCGAAACGGTGCATCAAAAGAAGGGGCGGATATGTGGAATAGGTTTGAGTGACGGTGCTATCGTTTTTATATATTCAAATGTCCAACAATTGCGGATGAAATGGTATGCAAATTTCCGTAGAAAACATTATTATTATGTGCACTATGACCTTTTACTTTTTGACACTTTTAGTGAAACACCCTGTAGATTACCTACATCTGATCACATACCGTAAAATGGGGTGTTAAGGGACAGTGGGGTGTTAAGGGACAGTTGCATGGGAAAAACTTTGAGTCATATTAACTTCCTAATTTGAGAAGGTTCAATAAAAACTTCAGTGTGGTAGTTGACACTGTTTTGCTCTTGACCATAGGACAAAATGCTATGGTTTTTCATGCAAGTGATTTGGTTCAAAAATGGATTTGAAAATCATGCTACATTTTCACAAAATTGAAACATCTCCAAAACTCTGTGTGTACCTCATAAACTAGTGGGTGTACAGGGAAAATGAATGCATAGGTGTATTGTCACATGTATTGCACATGTTTCCTGAAAAACTTGTGCAAATTCACCCATTCATTCATCATCCTCTTCCTCTTTTCCGGATACATGCATATTTTGAGGTGGATGTGGGGTGCTAAGGGACAGGGAAGAAAAAATAAAAAATAAAATCTAAATATAATTAAATCAAGTTTTCTTTCAGTAGGCATGGAAAACACCAAATTCCACATAAAATGCTGGCAAGTTCATGCTTTTATCTCTAACACATCTTAAGTTATGTAACAAAACATCTCAACACTCTCTTTTACAATGATGGGTCAATGGAGACTGATGTAGGTAAATGTGATGTCATCATAAAAAGGCCAAAACAAAGAGGGCAACATAATGACAAGTGACTAGCTTCAACATGGGTTTTTATTGATGACAGAAGATTACTTTTTGGCTCTGTTTACCTTATAATTAGCACATTTTCCACAAGCGTAAACAGCATTACACGTAATTGGCTAAAAAGGTCATTAGTGGTGAATGAACCTGACTTGTTTTGTGACAGAATATGCAAAACATTTCAATAAATCAATTATGTGCCCTTCCACACCCCAATTGTGGACATTTGATGACCATTTCTTGGAATAATATAGGTGTCCCTTAACACCCCACATTGGGGTGCTAAGGGACAGTGATGAAAAATAATAAAAAATAATATTGAGGCATAAATCCTAAAAACTTTAATGTGGCAGGCATATAAAACACCAAATTCCACATAAAATGCTGACAATTTGATGCTTCTATATCAAACCCTTCTTGAGTTATATAACAAAACACCTCAAAACTGTCCCTTAACACCCCGTTTTACGGTACTTTAACGTTTTGTTGTGCTGGTACCCCAGTCTGCAAAACATGGCAGGGAGCTCGACAAGATTTTCGGGGCAGACAAAATCCTGCCCCGAATCAGAATGCTGAGTCCAGAGGCAGCCCAATTCCTGCCCCTAATAATGCAAATAATGTAATGATATAATGATGTAGGAAGCAGTGAGAAGCTGAGAAAATCACTTCTGTGTCAATTTTCTAACTTCTGCACCAGATCTTCCTGTTTCTGCCCCAATCTTCCTGAAACCTGCCCCTATTTCTGCCCCAACCTGTGGTGTCTGCCCAGACGAGATCTCGTCGAAGCCTGGCACATTTTGCAGACTGGCTGGTACCCAAGTCAGATTCTAGTGCAGGCAGCAGTCTTTGTCAGCAGAAAAAGGTCATAAATGCATACATTGTTTCTAAAAAAGGTCATAAGGAAGCAGGAATCATTGTCATTTGAACCAGAGGCCATTCATGAATATTTGAGAATTGAGGGTATCTGAGGGACGCCGGTGAAAACAGGGCGCCAGAGGGCATATTAGTCATGTGACATTTGGAACTTCTCCCCCCTGCATGTGCCTTTTTGATGCTAAACGTCAAGTGTGAATTTCACGAACCTTGATCAAAGCGCCCTGTTTTCACCGTCGTCCTATCTGAGGTGAAATGGTCATTAGTGCCCACTGCCCAGTTACATACCTACCATTCTTCAGTAAGCAGACACGTACAGAGATTGAAAAACAAAACATTATGGATTGGCCACATATTTATCATTAAAGACCTGTAATGCTGAATCAAATATGAGCATGTAATGCCCAACAAAGTTAAGCCAATCACATTATTGTTGACAGTGCACATCGGACAGCTGCTGTGCGCCATTTTTGCCTAGCAAGGAAAATTATCATTTAGGACTCCCCGTATCAGGCCAGGAGGACAGTAGCACCCAAAACGCATTACTTGAGGAAATTGTAAAGAGAAAATAAGAACGTTCATCGTTATAACTTACCATGGTTGCTTCTTTTGGCTTCGATTTGGGAACGAAGCACGATCGCCAACCACAATGGCGAAAGCCACCGGAAAAAGGACTTTATGTAGTGCTGAGATGTGATATCATAGCGTTGTGCAATTCCCTAGAACGCTCTATGACTTGGGCTGTCCGCTTTTATTTGAAATTATTAATTATTAATTATTTGAAATTAAAAGGGAAAAGACAATTAACTTGAAAAACTTGAGCATAATTTTAAGTCCGTCAAATTCCATCTCTAGAACAATCTCGACTTTTACGGCGCAACAGACAAAAACAGCCCAAAAAACGCTATTTCACTGCTATGCTTGCTTTCTTCCTACAGCCAAGGCAGCTATTTTAGCCAAGCCATTCCTCCTTAGAGATCTCATGATCTGTCTGATAGAGATTGATGATGATAGAGATTGATGTGCAATATGAATGTAACTTAAGTAATTCAGTGGCATTTTTCCATAAATATAATCAGCCAAAATGAGTTATAACTGATTAGAAAATAACACTTTGGGGTGTGCAGCACTTTGTGAACCTTTCATCCATGTAGAAGTAGTTGTCGAATCTTTTTTCTGATAATATTCGAGGGGATTGGGTCAATAACCTTTTTAGTTGTATTCAAATGCTGCCAAAAATGTTTCAAGCAAGGGTGCTATAACGAGTGAGAACCAGCATTGAAATTACTGTGCTAAAGGATCTGACGGAAGAAGCAATATTTTATTGCATTACGTGATCATGAAAGACCCCAACGAGCAGCTTGGAACGAGCTTTCAACTTCACAGTCCTCAGCTTCGTCACCGTCTGGCATCTGCTCATGGACCCGGAGTTGAAAAGTACTGACTTTGGGCATTTCAACATTGGTTTATAGTGGCGTTGCATGGAAATTGGAAAGAACGGCTTTGTTATCCTAAAAATGGACAAAATAGCCAAACGACAAGCTTTGGAAGTTGCCGGGTCTTTTTTGTGTTAGTTTAAGCAAACTTCTATATGTTTAGTTCTTTGTTTCTTGGGTTTCTTCAATGAGTCTATGAACAGTGACGTCACGGTAATATGCTACAAGTTCGCGCGCAGCTGCTCGAATGAGCAATCTTATTCGGTCGACCTTGCGGTCATTTGTTAGCGAGAGCTCCGGCGGGTGGGGTGTGTGTTGCGTGTGGTGCCCGCTGGGGTGAATGTGATATACAGCATATCGTTTTTATGTGATTGAAATAATTGCACGAAGCTAGAGCTGAACATTCAAGTGTTTTTCTCCAGTGTTAAAGAGCGTGAGACGGTCATGCAGTTTCAAAAGCTTGCCGTGATAGTCTTCCTGGGCTGCGCCGCTTACGTCGCAGGAACTGCACAGGTACCTAAGGAGATATTAATTATTTAGTGAAAAACCAATAGCAGCTGAGTTGTTCCTAGAAGAAATATGTGCTGCTCACTGGTACGCTCATACGTCAAGTGTTTTCAAATTCCCCTTTGCGGGCGGTGCATTGCAGCCCATGCTTACATAGCTATTGTCAAAAGTTGAATAACATGCCGCGTGCCGGCCATAAGCCATCGGTCGGATTTTGGCGAAAAATACCTGAAGCATTAACAAAACATGGCCGAATGCCTAAGTCATTTTAACAAAAGTTTATTAACTTTTTGATAATATTTTGGGTGGATATTGGTCTGAAAAGAATGATCTACAGGGTGATTTTTTTTTACTTGTTAAAAAGTAATGAGGTTTAACGGCGCTAAAATGCAAATATATATTGTAAAATTATATACCAGCATGACGAGCATTCTGGGACATTTTGATTTCATGCAGACACGATGTGAAGGAACGTCCATCGTGTATTTTACTTGTGCTTGAAGTTACCCCCTCTCTCACCAACACGAATCAGCCCGCCTGAGCACGTGTTGAACAGCACCATGTACTCCCATGCTCATTAGGCGGACTGAAAAGGCTCCTATCACCCATTTTCAGCTCTGCCAGATATTTCCAATGTTTTCTTAGTTATATCTGCCATACCTGGGTCCAAAAACTAGAAGTCTAGAAAGGGCAGGTCGAGGATTTTGCTACTGGCGGCCCTGGTGGTGTCTGATTCGCTGTTTTTGTTTCTCCCTGAAGGCTGATTCTTCAGAGGCTGCACATACGCCAGATGGAGCGTTTGAAGGTTATTCATGACTACAAGCTTGTTCGTGCATTATTTAACGTCTTTCTGAGGTATCTCCTTGATGATCGTATGCTTCGAACTGCCTCAATGCTTCAAAATCATCGTTTTGTGTCGTTCCTTACTGAACGGCGGTGGACCATGCGTGCCCGATTGGTGACACATTTTCAGGCTCCATTGGGGCCGGGGCCTTCGGTTAAAAGGGACAAATCATGACACCATACAAAATGTCCCAGATTTATCTATCACGTGCATTGCTTTTTTGCACCAAATTTTTCGATTTAGGGACCACCATTGACGTTTACTTTTTAACAGTTAAAAAAAATCACCCTGTATAATGTATATGTATCCAAATGACATTTCTAATATTTAGGACATGAACAGGTTAATCACTTTTTATGTGCTTTCCTATCATTACACATACATTTGCCTGAAAATTACCGCATCATTACCACATCAGATCACAAAAACTCAAACTCATAATCTATGAGGGGCGTTCAAAAAGTGTCGCTGAACAATGGAGGAGTTCTGAGGGGTGTTCACGGGCACCGCACACTGCTGCGTGCGCTGTGTGCGGTGCGTCCAGCAGGCGTGGGGGTAGGGGATGGGTAGGCGGCTCTGACGTCACGGCTGCGTGCGGTGGACGGTCCGCTGTGGCCAGTCCCGACCGGCCACAGCGATCGCTGTGTGCGGTGACGGAAGGCTGACGTAGGGACGAAGTGGGCGGAGCTTTGAGGCTGTGTGCGGTCCGACCGCACACAGGGCCCGTGAACAGCCCTCTGAGTTGGAATTTCGGCCTGCAAGGCAGTGTGTAAAATGATGTGTTAATGGGATGTCCACTTATGTAGCCATTAAGTCTGCCATGTGATTGATTCGGGCTGCTAATTGATCGTGACATAGTTTGGGATTCCGGATAGGATGGCCGCGACCCAAAAGACAACAGTGATTCGGTTCATAGTAGGTACTGCAGAAAAGGCACCAAGCGTTATTCTCAAGAAACTAGTGACAACTGACAAGTGACAACACATGTCAAGGTTTGCCTTTCTCACAGCAGCGTCAAATAGTGAGCATCCTTTTTTTAGATATTTTTTTAGATATTTAGATATTTTTTTAGATATTCGCGAAACACTTGAGGGGGAGGCGTAACCCCCCCCCCCCCAACACGGCGCGGGTTAAGTCGGCGTGGGCCTCTTTCAGAATGGCGTGTGTTCCTCAGACACTATTGCCTATATAACTGCGTTTTGTGCATGGGGCTCGGTGAGGATCTGGACTTCCAAAGTTTTTTTTTAAGATTTTGGTTTGTCTTGTTAATGACCAGGTTGAAAAAAACAAGTGGCCGAAATCCGATGAGAAAAGCAGGGCCCTGTTTCACCGGTGATAGCAGCACGCCGATTTTACGACTTGTCAAATTGGGTTTCCATGGAGACATCAACAGGCCCATTGCTCCAACACTACCACAAGTGTGACGTCAGCTCGCGCAATTTGATAGCAGCGTGGTAGCAGCAGCCCGTGAAACACCGCCCGGATTGGGGGGTGGGGGGGTGGGGGGTACCCTACCTTGTAAGCCCCGTCACATGTGGCCGGCCGTCGCCTTTGGGACTTCCAATCATTTTCGGAAAACAACACCCCTGCCTGCGGTCACCGATCAATAGGTAATTCATCACCCTGTCCTCCCTTACATGCACGGATTGTCACGGCGGGGTGCGCCGCACCTATCCCATTTCTGCTAGGCCATTACCAGGATCGTTGCAGTGGCGTCGTACCATTCCAGATGTTTTGATGCCCGTGCCCCGCCACTGTTAAAACTTTATTTTGCCGGACGTAAACTATATGAAATCCTAAAAGCTCCTAAACGTGTTCTTGTGTCAATTTAGTCTTACAGTAGCGCCACACTTGTTAACCCGCGCCCCACGGGGGGGGGGGCTATTTATAGCCCCCCCCTCCCGTTTTTCTGCAATAACTTCCAAACCGCTTGACGTATCGACGCCAAACTTTCAGTACCTTCGGCTGCATCAATTTGACACCTTGTGTCAAAATTTGAACTTCGTACCTACCATAGGTCGGCCGGAAATGACGTCAGAGTGACGTCATGTTCGGCCGATTTCGACGCAAAACATTGAACCACGGCAATCGCTCCCAAGAGCTCAGTTTTTAAGCTACATCCAATTTCTTTGCATGAGAGGACTCAGAATAGACAGCGCTATCAAACTGCTATCTCGGATTTTGAAAATTTTGAAAATTTTGAAAATTTAACATAATAAAATTCAAAATTTATATTTTTACATTTTTTTCAAAAAAGTTTTTGACTTTTCGAAAAAAACCGGAATATATGTGATAGAACGCATTATTATGACTAACTCTAGCAAGTTTTAGCTAAATATCTTCAAAAATGGCCAAGTTATACGCATTATTGCAAAAAAATTAACAATTATTAATTTTTCAAATCAATTTTTCAGCACGAATTTGACATCGTACGCCAATATAAATAGCACCATCGTGTTCCTGAGCTCAAACTGCATCCAATAGACACCTTTTTTGTTGAAAAATTTTCACTTCAAAATTTGACCTTTTTTTGACCTAAAAGTGACCTGACCTAAGCTAAATTTGACTCAAAATGACCTCGAATGACACAGACGACATCAAATTCGAAATGTTTGGCCTAAATGGACCATAAAACATGTGTCACGTGACCGACGGATGATATAATATTTTCGTGACCTGTGATGACCTGACCTTGACCTGAAAATCAAAGTACAAGTTTGGTACCCTCAGAGTATCTAGAGCATCTGTTCACGAGTGTGTGAACCAAAAATGAGCCTGATCTGACTTGTAAGACGGCGGCCAGAGCCCAAAACGTGACGAAGCCAAAATGCTAATAATTTTTACTTTGACCTGACCTGTGACGTCATCGGTGACCTCGAGGTCAATGAAATTAGGTTTCGCTCGACAGTTTTTCCGGGGCTATCAGACGCCGTTTGAATTTTGACGATCGGCCCAGTAGTTTCGGAGTTAGGAGGGGGGGGCTATGAATAGCCCCCCCCCCCCCCCCAGTAGGGCGTGTTATACGCAGACCCCAGTGGGGCGCGGGTTAAGGCGTCATGGGAATTAATAATCGTTAAGCGCCATCGAACATATGAGAAAAAAGTAATTAAATTCCGTTTACTTAACCCTTAATCTGACCTTGTAACGCCATTGATAGGCCTAGCCTGACCTCATGAACCTGACCTGGACCCTGCCGGCAGGCGCCGCTCGATGATGACGACTTTGCGTTCGAGGGCTCCGGCATGTATGACTGGCCGAGGAGCACGGCGGCGCCTGAGCCGGCGGGGCGCGCCGACGGCACCGTGAGCAGCATAGGCGCGCCGTGGGGCCAGCCGGAACCGGAGCCGGAGCTGGACGGCTCCGGCAGCGGACACCGCTCCGACGACGAGGACGACGACTACTACGACTACGACTACCCCAGCTACTACGAGTACCCGGACGAGGCCGACGCCGACAAACATGGTCAGTGCGCCGCCGCCGCCGGCAGCCCGCTGACGCCGCGGCCCCGGCCAGTCTCAGAAACGGGGGCCGGTGGTGGCGTCCCCGACTGCTGTCAGGGTCCATTGGTCGCCAGCTAACTAGTTGTCCGCTGACTAGTTCGGTTTTACCTAATACGCAGGTAGTGTGTGCTATTTCTTGTGCGGGTCATTTTAAGGCGGGATACCCGACCGTTTGCACAGCATGTCATGAATACTTTATTGGGGCGTTTCCGAGGGCTGGTCAGTGCCACTCCCACGTTCGACCTCATATCGTCCGTCAGTACGCCCCGCCGTGTTCCAATCGTGGGCCGGGGGTCTCGTATTCCCTGAACGAGCCGGCCGACCGGACGCCCCAGCGCCGGCTCCTGGCCTGGGCTTTTACTGGACCTGGTGACCCGGCCGTCTCAGGTGGCCTCCCGTCGCACGCCCCCGCCGCGGACGATCGATGGCGCTGGCCTAGACACCTCCCACGCGCCCAGAGACCGCGGTCGGAGGTGACTGTCGTCGTCGCATTCCGCTTGACATAATATTTTATTGAAATGGAAAGTCATCAGAAGCACAGCTTTATGATGTCTAACTAGATGTGCTTGTGGAATTGATTATAGGATGAATTAATGGTCGCATGCAGCGACATAGGGGTTCGTCTATCAAAACAATATGCCACTTCCTTGACATCACTGGTCAGTCTGGCCACTGACGCCAATGTTTGTGTGTTGCTGACGCCACTGGTGTGCGGTTGTAACGTCATCGGTTTAGTATGTACCACTGTCCACCGTTTTGGAGTGGGTTGCAGCAGTAGCTCTATACCTGGGCGTTCGTTGAGGGCGAGCCGTCCCGCTCCCATCATCCCTGAGTCTATGACCTCGTTCCAGTGTTCAGTCCAAGGCTCGGGCGAATACTGACTAGCTTGGAGATACCCATGCTGGCAGGTATTTGCAAGAAACCAAGGGGTTATCGCGGTGTTAGTCATGATAGTGACGATGGACGGGGAACAGGGGGTGTTACCCCGGCTGCTCGACTTGTAATATGTGTTGCAGTATCTCCCTCACCCACTCTTCTGCTCACACTATGCCGGGTCATCGGGAACCATTGGGTACGTGCCGGTCGATCGCGATCAGGGCAAATGGTCGCCCCGCTTTGTGCGCTGCCCTGCGACTTCACCTGCGGGTCGGCTCGCTCACGGAACATAGCCAACTGCGACCGAGGGGCCGCCGGCAGGTGGACTAACTTTGGAGCTTTACAGCTTTACTTGTGTGAGCGGTCTTCCCTGTCCGGGCCGGTGTCGTGTTTCGCCCTGTGAGCGGCTGGTGTGCCGGGTCTCATTTTTACGCGATGCCTTCGTGGAAAACAGGAGGGCCCGATGTGCATTTCCTAATCGGCCATCGGGCGCTGCAGTTGGTGAAGCCGACGGGCCGTCCTATATAAGGTGTGGCCGGCGCGGCGTCGGGCCGCGCAACAAGCCGACTGCCGCGATAGCTTTGAAGCGAGGCAGACGAGCGGCTCGTAAAATGATAGCGGCGCCGGTCCGGGAAAGAGGCGCCGCTCGGCGGCCGCTCCCGATCGGCGGAGGGTGTATTACGGCGCATTTATGGCACGGTAAAACAGGAGCGCCGCCATCCGGCCGTGTGGGGACACCCGCCGCAGCATTGGTGACGGTTGGTGGCATCACCATCTGCCGCCGGAGTGGTGCGACGTCCGCCGCCACGGACTGAGATGCAGACAGAGCTGGGTGTGGTGCCGCTTCTGCCCGGTCGACACACTCGGAAAGGGAGCATTGTGCGGCAGGATGACTGCCGCCGCCCCGTCCTTGGCTCCCTCGACTGATAGGACAGAGCTGTGATAGCGGCGCGCTCGCCGATGGTGTGTTGCCGCTCGGCGTGGTGTGGGGTCTCGTGAGCCAGAGCCAGGTGGCAGCAACCCTAGGTTACCCACGAGTACTGCCGGAAATGCCGCATGGCCATGATATGCACGCAAATGCACACGTGTGCAGAATATGAGACGGGTCCGGGAAATCCACCAACTGCTTGCTACTGGAGATCATGACATTTGTAGGGTATATCAGATTTTAACTGCTGGAATGTGGAAAAAGAAAATACGTATTTTACGGACCGTTAGTTTCATCCACACAAGCTACCGTGATTGGCACAGACCTGGTTTACCCGAGCGCTGGCTCTCGGGCAGCCGGCCAGCCGGCCCGCTGGGTCACTGCTCTGCCCCGCGGCGCACGTGCGGTCGCGGCCGCGCGCGTCAGCCCGGCCAGAGCCGCACGTGGTTGGCAGACACGTGCGGCTCCCCGCGCCCCTCCACTCTGCCGCGTGTCCGTGTATGTTTTGTCTCGCTGGGTTGGCGGAGAAGCGCTGACCGTCAGCGGCGAGCAGCGGTGCGGACGGACAGCTAGGCCGCCGCGCTGGTGGCACCGCCGACCCTTTGTCCTTTGTCCAGCTCATTTGCTGACCAGGCTCTGGGGACGGATGACCGGGCGAGTCTCGCAGCTGGCGGTGACACTGCGAGACTCGCCGCGGCGAGTAGCGGTAGAAGGGTGTGATGACTAGTCAGTGGTCAGCCGCCACCGGACCTGGAGCTGATCGCTGGCTTCCGTGTGACCATACGTAGAACATGGCGCTGCATAAATGCATGTACTGCGTTTTGATGAAACCCCCATCGGACGGCGTCTGGCAGGAGTCGCGCTGGACGAGAGTTGGCCGCGCGTGAGGGGCCAGCCGGCCGCGCGCCGGTGCTCGCTCTCCTTTGTGTCGTGGGCGCTCGTGTTCGGTCCGTTACATCTGCTCCGGTGCACGCGCCCGGCTGCAGCGGCGGCGCCGGCCGACGAGAAGCGTTACGAAACTCTCCGCCGGCGTCAGTAACTAGAAACGCCCGATACTTGGCCGTGCCGCGGCGCTGAGTGACATTGGTAAGTGGTCGGGCTGCGCGCGTCGCTCCGCTTTGTTAATCAATGAGGATCGCGGTCGTGTTGGAGGCCACACTAAGCGGCTTGACATTAGCCGGCTCCGCCCACGGCCGGTGCTCCTTGGGAGCGGCCGCGGCGGTGAGAGCGGGCTGCGGAGCGCGGCCACCGGTCACGGCGTGCACTGATGGCAACGTCTGCGTGCCGGACTAGGCGCGACGGCCTGACAGCGGCGAGCCATGGAACACTGGCCGCTGACCGCTCATCGCCGACTGCTGACCCAGCTGCTGACCGCTGACCACCGGCCGTCGGTCGACAACCCCTGGCCGCTGTCCACAGAGACACGGACTATTATTCTGTCCGACATGGAACACTTTCCAGGAGTGTCATTACCGATTCTCCCGAGACAGCATCGTTGATAGCCGTGAAATAGCTCCATGGAAAACGAACAATGGCTGCTACATAAAAAGGGTCGCTGAAAACCCCCACGAGTGCCGTATCTGGCGAGCCGCATAAATGGCTGGCCGGAAAGGCAAAGCTGACGTAAATTCCGCCTAAACCGTGCTCGCTGTGCCAAACACCGTGCCGTGGATGACTGCCATGCCGCTATGAGGGACGACGCCAGTCGACTCGGCGGCAGCTCGGGACAGTCTGCCGCTCGTGCAGACTCTGCTGAACACCGCTGACATGGCGCCGCGCCGGGCTCGCGTGTCGCTCCTCGTGCCTTTGTCCGCGGCCGATCGGACCGTCTGACGGCGGACACACTATCCGGACATGTCCATGATGGTGCCACTGTCTGTCCTGACATGTCCGTGATGGTCCCACTGTACGCTGGCTACATGTTTGACCCAGCCGTGCCGGCGGTATGTCGATCCCAATGAACGATACGCGGCCCCCATCTGTCTCCCCGAGCAGAATTGGGGCCGGTGGAGCGACGGCTGACGGCTGGCGTTGTGCGCGGCTGTCTGTCATACCAGCAGAGGCACACGTGCGCACGTGCTGCTGGTGTCTGTCCGTGGCCGGCGCCGGTGGGATGGAGGGGACAGAGGGGGAGGGATAGGGAAGTCTGCCTGGTCCCAGATGGAAGGATGGGATAAGTCGCAGCCCCGTGACGGCTGCCGCGACCGCTCCCCCACTGTGGTCACCGACTGCTAGGGTTCGTAGCGATACCCTGCTGAGCGGACCACCCCGGCCACGACTGGTGTGTGCGCGACCCTCCTCATATTCCACTGACTTGGATGTGGAACGTGCCGCCCCAGGCTCGTGTTTGTCGCCGCGCCGTCCTCCGAACTGTGTCTGAAGCTGAACTGACAGGTGTGCGTGCCCGCCGCCGACCGGGCGCGACCTCGCCGCGTCGGCCTGCGATTGTCCCGGAGCTGACGGCCCGTCGGGGCCCGTCCGTGCAGTCAGGCCGGCCGGTCGGCCTGGCCAGGGCCCTGCTGTCCGTATTTTCCTCCCATCGACGGACGGACGGCCCGGCGCGGTTCCTGGAGTGGCTGCGACCGGTCTGCGAGCCGGGTCAGCCGCGCCGTGTGGGCTGCGGAAGGACGCGACGGGCCACGCGTGGCTGACGCCTGACGGCCGCTGCCGGCGGCGCCTGACGTCTGCTGTTCCGCCCGTCCGCTCCCGCGTCTCTCAGTGACATGTATTGGCAGTTGCGCGTCTGTCTGTCAGGTTGTTGGCTGCAGCAGAGCGGGATGTTACGGGGAGGGAGGGAGGGAGGGTGACCCGTCTCCTGGCGGGCCGCCCCGTGAAGCCGGTGTCTGGTCGGGGAAGCTGACACCACTGGCGTCTGACGGGACTCTGCAGACGGAGGCATTACTGGCCCCCCTGCCCCTTCCTGCCCCGCCCGGCGCGGCGGCCGGAGTCGGGCCTCCCGAGCGGGGTGATTGGGTGATCGGGGACCGGGCGACCGGTCCGGTGCCAGTGACGGCCGCAGATGCCCTGATAAAGGGTCCGGCCGGCGCGTGCCGGCTCGTCCCGGCGCCAGCTCAGGAGCGTGGCTGTCCTTGGTCCGCTGGTCGCCGGTGGAATCTACTCCACAGATAGGACCAGAGTGGTTCTTTGATCTGTTTGAT